GACACAGTGATGGGCATTGGTTTTCGATAAGGTTGGCGGGGGTGCGGCACGCCTGGCGCACTCGGAGAACGTGGCACATCTGGCGCACCAGGAGTGCCTGGCACGCTCGGGCCCCAGGGGTGCCTGGCGCGCGTGACGCCCCTGGCACACGAGGCGCACCTCGCCCAAGCGTCGCGCACCTGGGGTCGGCTTTGGTTCCCAGTAGCTGCCCGTCCAAAGACGACCGCTGAACATGCTCAGGCTCGGGTGTTACGTATGTGTTGGGAGGGCGGGTGGGAGTGAGCTAGACGGCTTCCGGGCGGGTGGGTAGCTTGACCCATCCGCCTACCCCCTCCTCTGGACCTGGAGGGGGGGGTTCGCGAGGCGTTGGAGCGTCCAAGATGGCCCAAGATGGCTCTAGGAGGGCCTCACTGAGCCCAAGATGCCTTCCAAGATGGCCCAAGATAGCCCAAGATGGCTCAATATGGCTCCCAAGATGCTCCAAGAGGCCCCAAGACAGTTCCAAGACGGCTCCGAGTTCTGAGTGGCCACGGAGCCTCCCCAGGAGGCCGCCAAGAGGCCAAAGTCCTTCAAAATCTAAGGAAAATCGATGAATTTCGCCTTCTCGCCTTTTCGCTTCAGATGGCCTTCCGAGACCTCAGGACAGCTCCAAAAGGGCCCAGAGCTCCCATCTCTTCTGATCAATCTCATCCAAGATGGCCCCAAGAGCGGTCCCAAGGCTCCCAAGAGCGTCTCAAGAGGGCCCCAAGAGGCGCCCAGAAGGCCCCAAGTGGCGCCTAAGAGGCCCCAAGAGGCTCCCCGAGGCACCCAAGAGCGCTCCAAGAGGGACCCTTCTTCTGTGTGCTGCCCACTTCCCTGATCGAGGCAACTCCTCTGGGCATCGTCTCTGGATCGGCTAGTGGGGCTTGCGAAGCGTCAAGAATTCCATCAATTTACTGGGGCAACTTCCAAACCAACAATTAAACGATTTCGGATAGAGGGAACCCTGGAGAATCGAGCAACTCCTCCCAAGGTCCACTCTGGCCAATCTTCCATCCCAAGTCCATTTCTGACGGTCCGGGCGCCCGAAGCGGGGCCCTCCCGCGCGGTTTTCCTGTGGTCGTCGTCGTCGTCGTCGTCGTCGTCGTCGTCGTCGTCGTCGTCGTCGTCGTCGTCGTCGTCGTCGTCGTCGTCGTCGTCGAACCCTGTGAAGGCCCTCCAAAGGCCCTCCGAGGGCCCTCCGAAGGTCCTGCGACGGCCCTGCGGAGGCCCTCCTCGGCTGCACATGAGAGTGACCCTGGGCAAGGATGACCTCTGGTGCGCCACTCAACGGGGGATGCAGGGTGGCCAAACCCGAGCGCACAAGCCGCTGCTACCGCCTCGCGACCAGCGATCAGGGACCCCACCACTGGGCCCGCACCGAAGGCCGCTTCTGCAAAAGGCCACTCTTCTCACGCCCAGCCGACCCCAGGGAGGCCCCCCACGGCCCCCGCCGCCGCCGCCACGAGCCAGGCCCGCTGTGGCAGGGGCGGGCCCGGCTCCGGCCGTCCTCTGGCTGCAGCGGCGCCTCCTCGCCAGCGTCCGCGGCCATGGCCGGCCGCCTGCCCTGCCCCGCGCCGGCGGGCCGCGACGGGGCGGCCGCCGCCGGGGCCGCGCGGAAGCCCCGGTCCTTCGCGAGGCCGCCAAGGGCGGCGCTGTGCGGGCCAGCGCGCGGAGCTCGGCCTCTGTGGGGGCCCTCCCCGGCCCCCGGAGCGTCCGAGAAGGACCCGGGGTGAAAGCTTGGTCCCGGCGAAGGGTCGGGTGTTGCTAGGAGTACCCCTGGCCCAAGGTGCCCCCCGCATTTCGCTCCATTTTGGAGCCCCTGGGGCCCTCTGGGCCTCGTGAGGGGTGCTTTGGAGGCCGTTTGGGCTACCCCGAAAATCCTGGAGGGCACCTTGGCCCAGGGGCACTTCTAGCAACACCCGAAAGGGGTGTTGAGACCGCTGGGTGGCCAACGCTGTGGCCAACTCGCGGCGCCAGAGGTATGGATCAAAGAGAGCGGCGAGGGGCGCACGAGGTCTGACCAGGACAAGTCGGGATCTCTGGCATCTGGCGGTTCTGGAGGATGCGCCGCGGCCGTTCCAGAACGAGCGATCCCAGTCCCAGCCCCGCCCGAGGCCCAGCAAGGGCCCAGCGAGGACGCGAGCGACCTCTTACCCGCGGAGGCCGTCGTCCAGCCTTGAGCGATCGTGGCTCCAGTGGCGCAAATGCCAGCCGAGTTCCGGCAGCTGGCGGAGGTCGGCCACGAGCGCCCTTGGCGCCGCCGCCGCGCCAACGAGGCCACGAACCCGCCGCACGCCGCTGATGCTGCTGCTGCTGCTGCTCTCCCTCTCCCTCCCTCCTCGCGGTCCTCTCGTTGCTCTCGCTCCGCGGCGCGCTCCGAGCACGCTCAACCCCGGACGTGCGATGTCCAGGCATCCTCGAAGAGCTACGGGGCCCCGACACTTCTTCTGGGGCCCCGTTTTGCATCCCGATGTGCTTCGACGGCCCCGGGGCACGGCGATGGCCTGGAGGTCGACAATGGCCAAAAACCTCCCGTCGTGACTTCGCCACGACGCACGCATGCCTGCGACCCTCACACTGCGGCTCCGGCCGGGCACCTGCCCATGTGGACAAGCGCGCTCCACTACTCGCAAAGTAACCACTCGCAAAAGGCCTGGGTCCGCCGCGAAGGACTTACGAGCCTTCCCATAGAGGAAGACATGCGTATTTCTGGACGGTTGCAAGTAGGCACTTCTGAGCATCGTTCAACCGATCCCCATCCCCAGCAGCGTGGCCTGGGCCCCGCTGGCCGATTTCCCCCCCTAGATGGGGATATGGGCCGTTCCCTTCGGGTTTCGAGGGGCATATCCCCGACTGGGGGAGGTACTTTGGTGGGGGTCTCGAAGGGGATGGGGATGGGGACGGGGATGGGGATCGGTGAAACGATACCCAACTTTGCGAGCGGCGGGACGCACTCGGTGACCACACCACGGCTTCCCCGCGCGCGCGTGGCCGTTCGCGAGCGGCCGCCTGCCGGCTGCCTCCGCGCGGGCCCTCGGCGGCGCCCGCGACGGAAACCGCGCCCGCGGCCGCGCGCGGCGGGCCGGCACCCCTCGGGGGCCACCCGCTGGGCCGCCGCGCGCCACTCGCCAGAGAGGCTCGCTGGGGGCCGCCGCGACCGCTGCCCGCCGCCCCCCCGCGCTTCGCTAGATGGCTCAGGTCGGACGCGCCCCCCTACAGGCGGACTCTGGACGAACAAGTAGACATGGTCACAAAATATAAACAAAAAAGGACCAACAACAAAAAAACTTGAAAAAAAATAAAATCGCCCCCAGACTGCTGCTTTTGGCAATTTCTGGGTGCTCCTCCTGCAGAGGCACAGGCCCGACTCCACGCCAGAGGGGCTCGAGCGGAAGCAACACAAGGCACGGAGGAGATCGCTCCCCAGGCGGGGGGGGGCAGGGAGCCCCGGGCCGCCCACGGCCCAGCAGCGGGCGGGCGGCCGCCTTCGCCCGAGGCTCGCTCCTCGGGAGCCGTGCCCTCTCGCCTCCGTGCCGCCTGCATGTGGGGCCCGGACGGCCACGGCCCCCCTGCAAGAAGGTACGCTCGGGACACCGAGGCGCACGTGGCCGTGTCTCGACCTCCTCCTGCTCCTCGACTGGCCCCGTCACCCCTGCTGCCGCTGGCGGCGTGCTCTGCCGGAGCAGGTCGGAAGCCTGGCGCGCTGCTTCGAGCTCGGCCTCTGCGGGGCCAGCGAGCGGGCCCCCGGACCACAGTGCTGACCCGGGACGAAGAACTGCCCCTGTGGGAGCGGTCGGGGGGACATCTGGGGCCGCTGCTTGTTGGGGGCGACGGCGGGGGCGAAAAGCCCCAGGGGGAAAAGGCACTGCACGAATCCAGGGGCGCCGAGGTCCCCTGCCTCTGGCGAGGCTCCCAGGCGAATGCGCGCATTCGCCCCGCGTCGCTGGGCTGTTCGCCCCCATCGTTGCCTCCGAGCTGGGGGGGGGGAAGGGCGGGGGGAAGGGCGGAGGTGGGAACGTCGGCAGATGTCAGGGTCCGCGGCGCGGAGCTGCAAAGCGGGGCAGCCGCCCGCCTCGCACATCGACCCAGACCTTCGAGGTCGAGGTCCTCGCTCGCAGCGTGGGGCTCCCCCTCTGACGGCCCCGTGGGCCCTGGGAGGATGGAAGCGGCCAACAAATTTCCCTCCGCGACTTTCTTCGCGACGGAAAAATGACTGGACAGCACCCCGGGACCCCTGAGATCCGACGTCACGAAAAAAATGAGCCTCATGAGAACAACCCGCAAAGGGAACCTGCGACGAACCCAACCTTTTCTCAAAACGAGGGGTGTGCCTAAACGGGGCAGGACACCTTGCGGACGCAGCCACCGAAGCCTTCGGTGGAGCGCCATATGGGGCCACGAAAAGCGTGAGGGGTGTACCGAGATGGGGCGGGTCACCATGCGGAAGCAGCTACTGTGGCCTTCGGTGGAGCTCCATCGGGCCAAGAAGTGAAACTGGAGGAGGATCAGGAAGAGGAGGAGAGGGAGGTGGGAGGGAGGAGTAGGAGTAGGAGGAGTAGGAGGAGTAGGAGGAGGAGGAGGAGCAAACCCAACTCACAGGAGGGCTGGGAAAAAACTCGACCGGAGCCTTGGACCTCAGTTTTCTGCTGCACTTTTCGCGCCAGGTCGAGGTGTGACGCTCGTGGGGCCCGAAAAAACTGGCACCTGGACGGCCCTGGGTCTGGCAGAGCCCGCTGGAGCCGCAGGCAGCGCCGCCCACGCCCGGGCCGCCCCATCAGGTGCAGATGCGGCCCTGGGTCTGGTAGAGCCCGTTGGAGCCGTAGGCGTCCACCGGAGGGTTCCCACGGGGGTTCTTGGGGAGGGGGTTTTCCAGAGAACCCCCCCAGGGGGCCTCGGAACCTCGTCAAAGCAGAGGGCGCGACGCCCCTGGGGGACACCCCTGGAAAGTCCCCTCCCCAAAAGCACCCTCTGAAGCCCTCCGCGTCCAGGTAGTCGCCCCACTGCCGGGCGAGCCGGAGCCTCAAGGCGCCCCTCCGCAGCTGCCCGCCGACCTCCTCGAGCTGCTCCTCGGGGCTTTGGGGCCCGGGAGGGGAGGAGGAGGAGGAGGAGGAGGAGGAGGAGGAGGAGGAGGAGGAGGAGGAGGAGGAGGAGGAGGAGGAGGAGGACGAGGTTGAGGATGAGGAGAGGAGGAGGAGAGGGGAGGAGGAGGAGGAGGAGGAGGAGGAGGAGGGAGAGGAGGAACAGGAGTAGGAGGAGGAGGAGGAGGAGGAGAAGAGAAGAGAAGGAGGAGAGGAGGAGGAGGAGGAGGAGGAGGAGGAGGAGGAGAAGAAGAGGAGGAGGAGCAGGAGGAGGAGGAGGAGGAAGAGGAGGAGGAGGAGGAGGAGGAGGACGGGTCGCCTACGCCCTTCGGCCCTGCGGCAGATTCGTGACGTGACGGCTTCGGCGTTGGTGTGTCTGCACCGCGTGGGTCCATCCACCTTGACAGGTCGGCGGTGGAAGGTCCGCGCTGGGCGTGGGGTCCAGGCGTGGCCCTACCCTGGCATCCTCCAAGAGCTCCTCCTCCTCCTCCTCCTCCTCCTCCTCCGCCTCCTCCTCCTCCTCTCCTCCTCCTCCTCCTCCTCCCTCCTCCTCCTCCTCCTCCTCCTCCTCCTCCTCCTCAAAGAGCCCGCATCTCAGACGATCTGTGCTTTCAGTGCGGCGTTTTCCTTCGAGGTCGGGTTCCGGGGGCCGCCATCGAGCCCCGGGCCACCAAAAACGACTCTTGGGCCCCCCCGCCAAAAAAAAGTACCTCAGGGGAAGCGGCCTGTGGACCTCGGGGCCGCGATCGGCGGACGTCTGGGCCTGGCCTCTGGGCCCAGGAGGGGCCCTACCCTGGCATCCTCTGGCAGCACGGATAAAAGCAACACCACCACCACCAACGCGAGGAGCCAGGGGGGGGAAACTATGGGGAATCCTGTTATTTGTGTCTACTTCCTGTGTGTCCCAGGGCCTCTTCACAAAAGGGGGGTCCCCACGTCGCCAGCCTCAAACGCAAGCACCACGCGCCTGGAGGGCAAGCGCGCAACCTCTGGAGAGCTTGCACGGGACTGCCCGGGGCATTCCCCAGCCACCGCGACAGGCCAGAGTGGTCCCCCCTCCCCCGCGCGAGGCAGCCTCCATCACCCCAGCTCGGGGAGGCATCGCGTATCTCCCCGCTGGAGGTGGCATCCTGGGGGATGTTGTCGCTTTTCTTTACTCCGATCCTCGCGTCGTTACATCTGCGAGGCGGGGATTTATCCATATCCACCGCCTGGGAACCGACGTCATGGTGCCCCAGCGGGCGGTGGATATGGATACATTTCGGCCCCCGCGGGCCCGAATATGTCCAGATCCACCGCCTGCCGAGGCTCCGAAAACTGACCCTCCAGGCGGTGGATATGGATAAATCCTCGCGTCGTGGCATCAATCACGATGGAAGGCTTTGGGCACTTTTCTCTCTCTCTGGGGGCCGTCGCCAGGGCCCGGCACAGGCGAAGAGCAGCTCGGGAGGAAGAGCCGGTCCCCATGGGAGAGAGGTCCGGAGCCCGGGGGAGCAGCACACGTCAGACGTCCGGGTGGGCGGCCCAGGGCGGCAGGAAGGGCCTCGGAACTCGTGGTCGGGTCAGGCGGAAGCGGGAGCGGCACGTTGTGCGCACGAGGGTGTGCGCGCCGTCGCCCGAAGCACGGTGTGTACACCTTTTTGGTGAACGGCCCACGCTCGCACGCCTGGCCCGAAGATGTCCACTATCCCGTGGTCGATGGCGGTTCCGAACATGGTGTCACAGTCATGTTCCTGTCCCCAGATGGCAAACGTCGGGGATGGACAGAACCCCCTTTAGTGAAACGTGGTTTAGTGAAAACGACCTCGGGCCCAAACCTGGCGGGCGCAAACCTGGAGAATGACGGCCGCGGCATCCTCTCGAGAACCGAAAACGGACAATCCACTAATCGACGTGTCAGGGTAGGAGGTCTGTCCACCCGCGAAAATGGGGGGTGATCAGCAAATCAACTCCGGCAGCCGGCTTTCCTGGCGCCTCTCGGCCAGGAGGCGCCCGAGCATCGAGGGAGGCGCCCCGCGACGGCGGCAGGGCCGAAGCCGGCTGCATGCAGCAGATGTCGCACCTCCCTGTCCCTACCTGAGGGGCAGCGTCAGGACGGAACCAGCTTAGCGGGGGGACTCGACCTGGAATCGGCGAAACATAGCCGAATGATCGACAGCAGAACGCGAAGCCGGACGCTCCTGGACGGGGTGGGATATCGAGCCCCCATGGGCGATGAATTGGCAATTGGTGGTGGACGTATTCCCCCCTGAGCCTATCCCCCCCTAATGTTGCCCCTGAATATCCCATCCTTTCGTCTGGCTCAACCTTCCCTCAGAGACCCCTCTCTCCGCGGCCATCCTCTAGAGGCCGCCTGAGATTGGCCCCTGGGAAAGCTCCTGAGGTCCCACCCTAGGCAGCCTCTTGAGCTGCGACCGCCCGTGGGCGACTCTTGGGGCCTGATTTGGACCTTAGTGGCTTCCTGGAGCTTCTGGGAAGCGTCTCGGAACCCTCCTGGCGTCCAAACGCCCCCGGGAGCGCCCACATGAGAGCCTCGGGATGGCCCCGATGAGCAACTCTTCGGGCTCCAACTGAAGGGGGGCGCATGCAGGAGCCCGAACAAAACAACTCCGAGACGACGACGACGACGACGACGACGACGACGACAACGACGACGACGACGACGACGACGACGACGACGACGACGACGTCGTCAGGCGTCGCCAGGCATCATCAGGCGTCGCCAGGCGTCGTCGGGCGTCGTCGTCGTCGTCACCGCCGTCGCCGCTGCCGCTGGCCTCCGAGGGCCCTCCGAGGAACCACCCGCAGACACCTCCGAAGGCGGCTACTGCATCCGCCCTTGGAGCCGCCGAGGCCCTCAGGGGAACCACCGCTGGCCTCCGAAGGCCCTCCGAAAGTCGGGGGCGCGCAAGCATGGATTAGCGATCAATGGATTTGGCGCGCAGTCGCCAAATCCATGGACTGGGGGAGGTGGCCTCCCCAAAATGCGGCCGGTGCCGCCTCGCTCGGCGGCGGCGACCCGCGGTTTCCCACAGAAACGGGACCCGTCGCCAATCCACGCCCCCTTGATCCATGTTTGCGACCGCCTGACTCGGGGGAACCACCGCTGGCCTCCGAAGGCCCTCCGCAAGGAGGCCCCCCCCCCCTGCCGGACCTCATGCCTCCCGCCCCCGTCCACAAAAAAAGCGGCTCTGGCAGCCGCTGCTGCGGGCCCGTGGGCGCCCCCTCGACGACCGCTGGCCTCCGAAGGCCCTCCGCCAGGAGGGCCTCCCCCCCCCTGCTGGACCTCACGCCCCCGGCCCCCCTCCGCAAAAGACGAGCGGCTCCTGCAGCCGCTCCCGCGGGGCCGTGGCCGCACCCTCGCCGAGGAGGCGCCCGAGGTGCTCCTGCGGGGCGCCGTTGTGAGGGGGGGCCAGCCCAGGGAGGAGGAGGAGGAGGAGGAGGAGGAGGAGGAGGAGGAGGAGGAGGAGGAGGAGGAGAGGAGGAGGAGGAGGAGGGGGAGGAGGGAGCATCGGGCAGGGCGACCGAAATGGAAAAACCGCACGGTCCTGGGCGGGGCGGGCTATCGTTGGCGGCGCGCACAAAGGGGTGGAGGGAGGGGGGGAGGGCTTCTCAGAAGGAGGTTGCTTCTTAGAAGCCTTCCCCCCTCCCCCTATCCCCCTCTGCGCATGGCTGAGTTGAGGGGGGACCAGCCCAAGGGGGAGCATCGGGCTGGAATCGGCCATGCATTGCCGACCGAAATTGAAAAACCGCACGGTCCTGAGCGGGGCGGGCTATCGTCGGGGGCGGGCAAACATGGATTAGCGATCCATGGGTTTGGCGCGCAGGCGCCAAATTCATGGATCGGGGGAGGTGGCCTCCCCAAAATGCGGCGGGTGCCGCCTCGTTCGGCGGCGGCAATCTGCGGTTTCCCACGGAAACGGGACACGTCGCTAATCCACGCCCCCTTGATCCATGTTTGCAATCGCCTGAGTTGAGGGGGGGCCAGCCCAGGGGGGAGCATCGGGCTGGAATCGGCAGTGCATCGCCGACCGAAATTGAAAAACCGCACGGTCCTGGGCGGGGTGGGCTATCGGGCCCCGATCGGCGATCGATGGACGACTCAAGGTGGATGCATCCCCCCTGAGCCTCGCGGTTCAAATGTCGGGTCCCTGGCGGCTGGTCGGGACGATCTGGGCAGCCCCGGAAGGCTCCCGGCGAGGCGTGGCCGCTGAAGGGAGCCCGCGGGTAGAGAACCGCCGAGGATCCACGAGAACTTCGGAGAACCTCGGAAAACCTCGAGCCTGGAGGCCCCCCTCTGAGCCTACCCCCCCAAGCTAGAAGCCTCCCAAGCGGGGTCCGAGTAGACCCCCTCTGGAAGGAGAGGAGGAGAGGAGGAGAGGAGGAGAGGAAGAAAGGAGGAGAGGGGGAGGGCGAGGAGGAGAAGGAGAAGGAGGAGGAGGAGGAGGAGGAGGCCTGGAGACGTGGCCCCTGAGCTCCAGGCGCCGCCCCGCATTGCAGATCGACCCCGCCGCCCGGCCGGCCGCGCGCGCAGCCCGCTGCAGCGCCTCCTGCAGGTCCTCGCCAGCCGCGGCGGCGGTGCCAGGCGCAGGCGCCTCGCCACCCGCGGCGGCGTCCTCGAGCTGGGCCAGCTGGGCCCTCGCCTCGGGGAGGGGCCAGATGCGTGGAGGCCGCCCGAGTCCCAGACCGCGGAGCGTCCAAGTCACTTGGCCGTTTGCGTCTCCCGGGGGACCCTCGACGGGACCCGGAGAGGTCAGAAAACGACACGAGGTGAAGAACCGGTCCTGGGGAGTGGGTCGAGACCTCCAGGCGTCGACATTGCGGGAAAATCCGCCGACCCTTCGGCGTGTGTGAGACGCTTTCCCGTCGTCGTCGCCGTCGTCGTCGTCGTCGTCGTCGTCGTCGTCGCGGTCGTCGTCGTCGTCGTCGTCGTCGTCGTCGTCGTCGTCGTCGTCGTCGTCGTCGTCGTCGTCGTCGTCGTCGTCGTCGTCGTCGTCGTCGTCGTCGTCGTCGTCGTCGTCGTCGTCGTCGTCGTCGTCGTCGTCGTCGTCGTCGTCGTCGTCGTCGTCGTCGTCGTCGTCGTCGTCGTCGTCGTCGTCACCCTCGTCGTCGTCGTACTTGTCGTCGTAGTCGCTGTCGTCGCCGTCGCCGTCGTCGTCGTCGTCGCGGTCGTCGTCGTCGTCGTCGTCGTACTTGTCGTCGTCGTCGCCGTCGTCGCCGTCGTCAACGTCGTACTTGTCGTCGTCTTCGCCGTCGCCGCCGCCGTCGCCGTCGCCGTCGCCTTGGTCGTTGTCGTCCTCGTCGTCGTTGTACTTGTCGTCGTCGTCGTAATTGTCGTCGCGGTCGCCGTCGCCGTTGTCGTCGTCTTACTTGTCGTCGTCGTCGCCCTCGCCGTCCTCGCCGTCGTGTCGTAGTCGCGGTCGTCGTCGCCGTCGTCGTCGTCATCGTCGTTCTTGTCGTACCTGTCGTCGCCGCCGCCGTCACCGTCGTCGTCACCGTCGTCGTACTTGCCGTACTTGTCGTGTCCGTCGCCGTCGCCGTCGCCATCACCGTCGTCATCGTCGTCGTGGTCGTCGTCGTCGTCGCGGTCGTTGTGGTCGTCGTCGTCGCGGTCGTCGTCGTCGCCGTCGTCGTCGCCGTCGTCGTCGTCGTTGTCGTCGTCGTCGTCGTAGTCGTCGTCGTCGTACCTCGTCGTACTCGTTGTCGTCGTCGTACTTCGCCGTCGCCGTGGCCGCCGTCGTCGTCGTCGTCGGTCCCAAGGACGTGAAAGAACAAGGAAGCTCAAGAACGCAGTGAAGTCGAAAAGAAGCCCCTTCCCTTCGATCCCTTCCCTGCTGAGGTGGGTCCCGCGAAGGGGCCAGAGGGGGGTCCCGTATAGCTTTCGACAATTTTCTGCGCTCTCGCCTTTTCGGCTTCCCGAAGCTCCAAGACGGCCCAAGAGGCCTCCAAGATCAGCCCAAGAGGCCTCCAAGACGGCCCCCAAGAAGCCCCAAAAGGGCCCCCAAGAGGCTCCCGAGAGGCACCTAAGTGGCTTCCAAGAGGCTCCAAAACTGCCCCCAAAGGCCCCCGAGAGAACTCCGAAGAGACCCCAAGAGGCATCCGTGAGGACTCTGACCCACGCCAGCGTGGTCGCCGTCGCCGCCGCCGCCGTCGTCGTCCCGCGTTCAGGGTCGGCGGCACTGGCCGCAGGACCTTCGCAATGATGACGGCGGAGGTCTGGGAAGCGGGGGAACCCAACAGCAAAGAACAGCAGGCCGCCGCGCGCTGCTGCCGAAAAAAAACACCAGGGTATCGGACGAGAACGGCGGGGCAACAGCCTGGCGGGCGCCCCACGGCGGCGTGCCCCCGATGTTTTTGTTTCTTTGTTTAGTGTTGTTCTTATTACTTGTTTTGCTTAGGTAGATCAGGGTCCGAGCTGCTGGGGTGCAGGAAGATCGCGCCGCATCGCCGCTGCAACGGCGATGCACTGGCGATGTCTGCACGGAGAAGCTCGGGCTCGCCGATGCGTCGGCGGTGCGGCGGCGACGCGGGCCACCTCTGGGACGCAGGGGCTCCTCTGGACAGGGTCACCTCTGGCCTGGGCCCCTGAATACGTGGCCCCCCTGGGAAGGCCTGAACACATGTATTGGCGATGTCTGCGATGCCCCTGCGTCGCCGATGCGACGGCGACGCGGCGCGATCCACTGACCCCATCTACTGGGACCCCTTGAGGGCAGCCTGGAGTGCATCAGCCCCTGTGAGGGGGACAATGACAAACACGAGCAGCATCAGCACAAACTGTCGGAGGCCCGCGCGGGCCTCTTGGGTCGGCTCCGCGCGCCGTGGCAGGGGGAAGGGCTTCACCGCCGATCCAGGAGAACCCGCCCAGACGTCTACAGCTGCATGCTCATGGCAGAATGTCCCTGTCCAAACAGCGCCCCTTCAGCACGTAGCGGTATGCTTCAAGGCTCATGCAGTTGGGGGTAGTAGAGAAGACGTGTCGCCGCGCCGTTTGCTCCAAACGCGCCCAAGCAGACGAAGCCAGCACCACGGCAAACCCACGGCAAGCCTCGCGCCCGAGGCGACGTTTACCCTGGTGGCCGCGGCGCCCTCCCCGAGACGCAAAGCCGCGCGCCGGAGCACACGGCGCGGCGACGTGTACGCGCACCCCGCCCCCCCCGTTCGGCCCATGCTCGGACCGCGCCCCACGCTCTGGGACCCTGCCGATGGCTCCGATTGTCCACAGCGTCTTCGAATCGGCAACGGGGGTCGGTGCACAGGCGCCGAGGCTTCCAGAGACGTGGGGAGGTGGGGCTTCTGCGCACCGAATTCCTCAAGGACGACGACTAATACACCACTATACACCAGCACCGACTCGGGGTTTGGCCAATATCCTGGGCCCAGGACCAGTGCATACGTCTTCCTGGCCTGGCCAGGACGGCACTCTCACCGATCTTGGGCCCGAGATGGGCCTGGCCAGGAGCGGCTGCCTCCGTCCGACCCTTGGGCGACCAAGCGACGTCGCGGAAAGAACCGCAGATGGACAAACCACGACTGGGGCCCCAAACCCGATCTTCCTGCGGCACTTCGCGAACCGCATCAGCCTGCCCGAGCCCGGGCGAGAGCGCCCCGTGCCAAAAAATACAGCCCCGCACCCTTGGGGTCCCCAAATCTCCGACGTCCAGCTTTTCCACAAAGTTTGGGACGCCCGAAATGAACACGGAAACAGTGGGCACAGTGCCCAACAGCAAGTGTTGTCTCGATCCAACAGCGGTCGCTGTTGGGCAGGCGGTCTTCTGTCTCAAATGGACACAGGCCGCGGCGGCGTGAACAGGAACTGCTGTTGGGCATTGTACCCATTCTGTCCGTACCCATTTCGTTCGTGCCGAAAAGTGGGTGTCCACAGCTCTCTCGGGGCCCGGCGTTGCGTCCCGAGCTGTCTCCCGGCGGCCCCAGGGCGCGGCGAGGGCCCCCGGAGGCCGAAACTAAGGGAGAAGCTCTCGCAGTGATGTGTGTGTGTGTGTCGTGTGTCGTGTGTCGTGTGTCGTGTGTCGTGTGTCGTGTGTCGTGTGTCGTGTGTCGTGTGTCGTGTGGCGTGTGGCGTGTGGCGTGTGTCGTGTGTCGTGTGTCGTGTGTCGTGTGCGGTGTGCGTGTGCGTGTGCGTGTGCGTGTGCGTGTGCGTGTGCGTGTGCGTGTGCGTGTGCGTGTGCGTGTGCGTGTGCGTGTGCGTGTGCGTGTGCGTGTGCGTGTGCGTGTGCGTGTGCGTGTGCGTGTGCGTGTGCGTGTGCGTGTGCGTGTGCGTGTGCGTGTGCGTGTGCGTGTTGCGTGTGCGTGTGCGTGTGCGTGTGCGTGTGCGTGTGCGTGTGCGTGTGCGTGTGCGTGTGCGTGTGCGTGTGCGTGTGCGTGTGCGTTGTGCGTGTGCGTGTGTGGCGTGTGGCGTGTGCGTGT